GAGAAGAGAGAAATAAAGAGGAAGAAGAAGAAAAAACAGGAGGAGGAGAGAGAGAGGATAAACGAAGGGGAAAAATAGGAAACAGGGAGAGAAGAGAGAAAGAAAGGAAAAAAAAAGAAGAGAATAAAAGAAAGAGGAGAGATAACGTTGGTAATACTATTTTATTGCCCAACTTGGAAACCATCAGCAGAGAGACACGTGGATAGCGAGTTCGATGAGAATCGCTTTTGAGCGATTGTGAATAGCATTCCTCTAATAATAATAATAACAGGGTTCTAATTCCAACACCCGTCGCCGAACTTTCATACCTGAGTCGATTTGAAGCTCTTCAACTTTATAGATATGATGGAGTGCAAAGCGTCCATGGCTTGGTTTGTGCATCCTCTAGTTATGGTGGCCCAGTTTTCATACTTAACCCTACCACTAGAGAGTCCATTCAACTTCCCCATGTCAAGCACAATGCAGTAGTAGTTTATCACTTTGGCTTCAGTCCACTTACCAATGAGTATAAGGTTCTCCAGCTCATCAACTTTCGAAAATCAAATTTTCCGTTCAACGCATTCACGCTAGGTCAGGATTCTTCGTGGAGGCCATTGCAGGTAGACCCTGCAGCGGGCAACGTTGACCTTCCTTTTAAAATATGGGATGTGGCCGCAATTACTGACAGTGTGTGCATCAATGGGGCCATACACTGGATCGATAAGAGAGAAAAAGACATTCTGGTATTTGACGTTGAGAAGGAGAGCTTCAGCGTGGTGCCACTACCTGAAGATTGTGCTCAAGGGTTTGTTGACTATAATGAAAATTTTCCAAGCATAATTGAGGTGGGAGGATGTGTGGCTGTGGATATTGCGAACCGGTGGGAATATGACAGGATAATTTTATGGATTTTGAAAGACTACCAAAACCTGGTGTGGGTTAAGGAGACTATTACTTTTAGTGAGATGCCGGAAAAAACAATTTGCAGTGAAGTTTTGGGCACAATCCACACAGGTGAGCTAGCGATAATGATGGAAGTTGTCGACTCTCCACTCCAATTATATCTTTATAATATGAAGAGCAAACGACATAGAATATTTGATTTTGTTTGGCCTGGGTTTAAGGCAGAACCCTACGGAAGACCATTACTTCAGTTACTTTATAGCGATAGCATTGTCCCCTTAAAATGAGATGGATAGATATATAATATACATGTGCCAAAAGTATTTGCTCACAGAAACTCCGGTTGGAAAGTTGGCTTGAGCGAAAAGTAATTTACATGAATTCTATGTAAGTTTATTATATATTTGATTGTTATAATTTTTATGAAATTGTTATTATTAAATTTATATTTTTTTTCAATTGTTCCGGCAACAGTAATTTGCAGCCACTTAAGTCGGTTGTTCAACTTCTTGCTTTACCATTACTTTGGCTTTCCCTTCAGATAAAACGAGGTAAATGGTCAAGGTTAAAATAATTAATATCTAATTAATGGACAGTTTCTATGAATTTGACGGTTTAAAAGTTAATATATTTGGTTTATTTTCTATTGTCTTGTATAAGAATTTTAGTGAAATCCGGTTTTTTATTATCGTATCAGAAAACAATTTCAAAGGATTTTAGAAAAAGATCAAATCCGCTTAGCATAAAAGGATACTAATAAGTTACCCAATTTAGATATGGTGGTTAATTAGGATTCCTTTTTTCTTTTAGAATTTCTGTTTTCCTATTAATATCAGGCCAACAAACCCTATACATACAACATACCTACACTATTCTGCCCAAAAAAAAAAACAACATACCTACACCATTGGCACATTCATATACGTACAACATACCTATGGGAACACTCGTGTATATTTGAACACAAGAAATACATGACACGGTTCATGGAGAGGAAATAAAAGAAGCATCAATAATAATAAAATAAAATGAACTGCAGGGATTTGCAGAAATTGTTTCTGGCTCTAGCTCAGCACTCACCCATATCGATGTCAAAGTGGGAGATTTGCAGAGGATTGTACTGCAAACATGAGCGGTTGATATTGGAAATTTTACAAGAGAAGGTTGCAGAAGAGCTCTCTAATAAACTAGTGATAAAGGGTTTGAGATTGAAGTGAAATTGGGCAAGGCCCCAAGCACCTAGATAGGAATTACAGGGCACCGATGAAGCTAGGCCGCAGGCAGCAGCTCATGGTGGCTTGTTGCCTCAAGCAGTCGTCTCCCAACAGCACAACCAATTTCAACAAGACCAATCTGCACCATTTCATTACTACAAAATCCCTCCTCAAGCTTCACATGAGACAACATTTTTTCCATCAATGGATCCTTGAGGGGCAGGCATGGCGGGAAAGATTCCAGTTCAGAGTGGCACTGCAACAGGAGCAGCATTATGCTGAACTCTGTTTTTAACTGAAACTGGTGTTGCATTATGGATTCAGAATGTTGAAATATGATCAAACATTTTAGTTGCCATTTCAATGCATACAAGTTTCTTTTATCATCTTCCTAAAAAGTAATAGCTAGTTGTACGGTAAAAAGGTTTGTTCTTAAAATGTTGTTGTTTATGGACATTTGGAGTGGACTGAATCTTTTTTTCCAGAACAAGAAAGAAAGGGACTCAATTGAAGTCTGTTTGGGCAATTTTCCAAAATAAGCTGAATGCATGCTTAAACGCTTGATGAACAACTTAAGTGGTCTATGAAGCATATGATAATTTTTCACGGAACAAAGTAGATGCAAGAAATGATAAAATTCTCTTCAATGCAGCATTCAACAATGGGTTTTTATCCATCTCCTCAGTGAGAGTTTTTTACTTTTTCTGTTTGTTTGTGTTTCTTGTCTTCTCTTCTTTGCCTCCTCCCCTACTTGTGAGTCGTCAGCTCCTCCCACTCCCCATGAGTGCATTTTCTCGGAGCTATGTCTCAGATCTGAGTCTTTTATCCCCTCTACAGTTCTCTCTCCTTTGGCTAGCAGCTACCCTTCTTTGTTGGTTCTCAATCACCACTCCTTGCTCCTCGGCTCTGCGGGTACAACTTCCGTCGATCTCTTTCGGTGGCGGTATCTATCTGTGGTGTGGGGATGCGTTTAAAACTCTTGTGAGTCTTGTCCCTTGGATTATGGGAGCACGTTTTGTGCGGGTGGCTAGTTCCCCCCCATCTTCCGCCTGGACCTTTGGTATGTGTTGTTACCAGTTACTCTTTCTCGGTGATTGCGGATTTGCGATGGTGTTGCAGCAGGTGGAAAATAAAATGAACTGCAGGGATTTGCAGAAATTGTTTCTGGCTCTAGCTCAGCACTCACCCATATCGATGTCAAAGTGGGAGATTTGCAGAGGATTGTACTGCAAACATGAGCGGTTGATATTGGAAATTTTACAAGAGAAGGTTGCAGAAGAGCTCTCTAATAAACTAGTGATAAAGGGTTTGAGATTGAAGTGAAATTGGGCAAGGCCCCAAGCACCTAGATAGGAATTACAGGGCACCGATGAAGCTAGGCCGCAGGCAGCAGCTCATGGTGGCTTGTTGCCTCAAGCAGTCGTCTCCCAACAGCACAACCAATTTCAACAAGACCAATCTGCACCATTTCATTACTACAAAATCCCTCCTCAAGCTTCACATGAGACAACATTTTTTCCATCAATGGATCCTTGAGGGGCAGGCATGGCGGGAAAGATTCCAGTTCAGAGTGGCACTGCAACAGGAGCAGCATTATGCTGAACTCTGTTTTTAACTGAAACTGGTGTTGCATTATGGATTCAGAATGTTGAAATATGATCAAACATTTTAGTTGCCATTTCAATGCATACAAGTTTCTTTTATCATCTTCCTAAAAAGTAATAGCTAGTTGTACGGTAAAAAGGTTTGTTCTTAAAATGTTGTTGTTTATGGACATTTGGAGTGGACTGAATCTTTTTTTCCAGAACAAGAAAGAAAGGGACTCAATTGAAGTCTGTTTGGGCAATTTTCCAAAATAAGCTGAATGCATGCTTAAACGCTTGATGAACAACTTAAGTGGTCTATGAAGCATATGATAATTTTTCACGGAACAAAGTAGATGCAAGAAATGATAAAATTCTCTTCAATGCAGCATTCAACAATGGGTTTTTATCCTTTTAATTACAAGATCACTGACCCTAATTTTATTACCTAACATTATTTATTTATTTGATTTTTTGCCTCCATGTTAATTACTGTTGAATTAATTTTATTTTTGAGATTTATTATATATCGAATCACAGTTATCCAATAAAAATTAACGTAAGGGTAATGCTTGGCAAGCAAAAATATTTTAAAAGTTAAAATAGATTTTGTTTTTTTAGTTAGTGAAATATGGAATATGGAAAGTACGAATAAAATATATACATATATTATATATGTATAATATGAGTATTAAACCGAAAAATGCTAACTAGGAAAAGTTAAAAAATAAATTGTAGTGCAGTTAAAAAGGTTCCGTTTGTAATTCAGGATCCTGCCTTGGAAAATTAATTTTTTTTTTTTTCAACCATTACCTTTTAGAGTGGGGACTTTATCGTAAATTCAGTTCCACAATAGCCGGCTTCAGTCCCTTTTGGCTTATATAGGGTCCAGCCCATATCAACGCTATCTCCCGGTATCAGATTAACCCGGTTTTTTTTTTAATATCCGGGCCGTTTCCTTTACAAAAAAGCACGAACCGTACCCTTTTATCTTTCATCGTCTACCTCTTTCGATTGGAACCCAAGCAGATCGACCTAAATTTTTTCCAGATTTCGCCTAATTTCTTCACATAATCGTTGAATCGGCCATCTGTTTGCTTAATTCCGAGTCTTCTCTGTTGATTAATCCCAAATTCGACCCAACCCTTGGTGTCGCAAAATTCTAGGGTTAGAACTTTGAATCGGCCCCTTTCGCTCTCTATTCTTCCAATCCGTTACGTTTCTAGGTTCTAATTTTGTTTTTCTTACTTTGCCCTCTCGAATTTAGTCCTAATTTTGTAAATTTTTCGACCGCATCGAATTTCTAGGGTTTCGTAGAGTTCGTCTTGCCAGAGGTTCTTTTTGTGTAAATTATCATAGGGGTTTTGTTCCGGTCACCTCCATATGGCTATTTCGTTTGCGTTTGGTCAATAATTTATCGGTTTCGCTAGTGAATTGAAAATCTAGGGTTAGGGTTTCTGAAAAAATTTCAGCTCTTTTATTTGGTCAAATTGGATTAGGGATACGATTCCTAAGACCGATACATCGGCTTTTGTTGATAGTTCAGCGTGCAATTGTATTACGTAAGCCGTCTGCCTTTCCTTTTGTTCTTCCAGTGATACTCACCTGAGTTTTGAATCTGAAGAATTTGTTGAGGTAAAATCTCATTGTTAGTATTTACCCTATCATTTATCATTATTATCTTATGCTGAAAAATGAATTTAATTGAATGGAAATATTACTGAGCTTAAATATTGATATTGTTCTCCAACCAAAAAAACAAAAATTTATATTGTTCAAAACTTTATGTTAGTTTTTCGATTACCTCACATTGGAGTTTGAGGTGTTTGGATAAAGTGAAATGGTTTAAACGGCCCCCTTTTTTTTTAGAGAGATAAATGGCCTGTTTTTAAATGAAGATATGCTGATGTTTGGATTAAGTGAATTATTCAAAAGCAAGTTATGAGGTGTTGTGGTTGTTTTGGATTAGCAACATTAATGGGTTGAGTTCTTCGCTTTGGACAATCTTTTATGACAGAAGTAGCATTTTTGTTACTAATGAAATAAGTAGTATTGTTGTAGGTATTGTCATACATTATTCAAATCTGTCATAGATCTTAATTGTCTTGGGTTCAGGTTAACATGGGATTCAAAAGGCCCTTTGATGATGTGGACTTCCAGGAGCTTCCTTTTAAGCACCCGAGACAGCTTGAATTCAGTGATAAGCTTGCTCCATTTTCAGATGCTGTTTCTTGTTATGGTGCACCAAGAAAAACCTATGTTTCAGGTAAAGAAAATTCTGGTGTTAACCACTTTCATGGCTTGCTTTGTGTAGATAATATGGCCTGGTTTTGAACTGGCAACCACAAATGCTTTGACTTATTCACATTGAAATCTAATCTTATTTTGCATGAGACAGGTGAGGATGGGCATGTGGTTGGTAAATCTCAATGGCTCGAGGTGCTTGAAAAATATACTGTTAATGAAAATTCAACACCTGTCAACAAGGTTATTGGTGCTCCCTTCTCATTGACCACCAGGAGTTGTCGTGAAGAAGATGTTGGTCCTAGACCAGATGCTTATTCGCCTCCTGCAGGGGATTTCGAATTTGACTTCCCCAGGAGAACATTTGTTCCTTTCAAAGATGTTTATTCTTCTTTGGCGGATCGCTCTCCAAGAAAACCAGTTCCTGTTGGACCAGATCATCAGGCCCGTATCCCGACATGGACTGGACGCGTTAAATGTTTGGATCAGACAGATGAGAGTAATCTGAACCGCTTTTCCTTGCATTTCTTGGAATCAGAAAAGGTTGTTAATAATGCCAGTGAGGAAAAGCTTTTAGGGACTTCTGTCATTCCAATGCCTGACTCAAACCTGTCAGCACTTAAGTGTGATAAGGTTGGACTTGGTAGAACAGATTGTAGCTGCCTGGACCCAGGGACAGTCAGGTGTGTGCAAAAGCATGTCATGGACGCACGGGAAGAGCTTAGAAGAACCCTTGGAAATGAAAAGTTTGTGAAGCTGGGGTTTTGTGACATGGGGGAGGAAGTGGCACGAAGGTGGAGTGAAGAAGAAGAGGAGACCTTCCTTGAGGTTGTTTACTCCAATCCTGCATCAGTGGGGAGGAATTTCTGGAAGCAGTTGTCTGTAGTGTTCCCTTCTCGAAGTAAAAGAGAACTGGTCAGCTATTATTTTAATGTGTTCATGCTTCGCAGGCGGGCTGTTCAGAACAGATCTAATATACTAGAAATAGATAGTGATGATGATGAGTGGCATGGAGACAATGGAGGTTCCATTGACAGGAGAGTTGCTGAATATGATGAAGACTCTGTTATTGAGTCTCGTATTTATCAAGATGATCATGTAGGCCGTGAAGAGGATTACTCTGATGAAGATGATAGTGATGATGATGATGTTGATGATGACGGGAGTGATGGTGATGGTGATGGGGGACATGTTAAAGGAGATTCCAGCGAAGTAGATGGTGGGATAGATAATATGGAATCATACATGCTCAAGTCAGTTGATGATGGCAAATTTGACATTGTAGGTCAGCATGGGGAAAAAACTTCAGGGTGTACCAGGGAGGAATTTGATTTCCAAGATGACTCATGCGTGTCTTTCGAGTTTCAGTCCAATATGCATGACTCTTGTGATCGAATTGATGCTGGGGCTGCAGGATCTGCTTTACAAGTCACTGGATTTAGGAACGATCGTAGCAAATGCTTGCATGGCCAACCTGATGCATCAAGTGATGTAGTGGGTCATGCGTATTTGTTGGAGCCTTGTGATGCTAAAGTCTGGGATGCCAGGTTCCCATTAGACGCCATGAAAGGTGTTGATGTACTACCCACATGGAGTATGATTGAAGAGATATTTGATGAAGGCATGGGGGATTACAAGACGAGGGATGAGCAAAAGGGGCCAGCTAGTGGCTAGTGGCTAGTGGCCAGTGACGGATAATTCTTTTAACCCCTTAAGATGTAAATTCAGTACAGCCCTTGTGAGGGCTAAGTTTTGAGGTTGGCAGCCAAGTTTCGATGCAAGGCAACTTTTTCTTTGAAGCACAGGCAATTTTGATATCCGGTGTTTCTTTTGTACAAAAATCCATGGAATCTAATATTCATGTGTATGTAAAGTTTTCCCAAATGGAATATTCTTCTCATTTGTTTTTTGTGCACCTCCTACCTCTTTGTAGCCCTTTAGCAGTCGCACTTTGTTTTCTTCTCATAAGAATCTTTGTCAATGCTCCCCTCCCCACCCAAAAAAGGTCAATGTTCCTAGTAGAGCAGTACTTTTGGGTTTTTGACTGAAATGGTCTCTGAATTTATACCCGAAAAAGGCTTTCATGAAGTTGAGTAAAGAAAATGAAATTTAATTCAGACATATTCGAAGCTCAAATGTTTGTGATTTGATTGTAACATGCTTGTTTCATCACTGGGCACTGTTGATTACACAAAATATAAGAAATAGAAATTTAGAAAATATATACTTGCGGCGGCAGAGTCTAATGAGGACTGACATGCATGCTGCAATGCGACTCCTTATCTTCAAGGTCAATGCTTTTTTAAAATGGGTGGTTGAATTCTTTAATATTTTTTCTTTGGCCAGATGGAGTTCTTCAGTTGGCTTGGCACATTTTGGTCAAACAACAATTAAGAAATTTAAAACCTCATGGTTAGGTGAAGCTTTATATGTAACGAGCAATATTGGGTAAAAAGATCCCACGAAATTCTTGAATTTCTTTCACCCAATTTTGTATTCGTTATTGAAGCGAAGGTCTGCATTTTATACAGCCGATAAGACCCCACCAAAAAAAGTGATGGATTTTGCAAGATGCCAAGCAGGAAGTGTTTTAACTTCTAATTTAAATAAGGATATTTGACAAGCAGATCACTACAATATGGCCGATTGACTTAATCAAGGAAACTGTACTGGTAATTACTAAGTAAATGTGTCTTCCTATGAATTGAACACTTTGGAAAACCTATATTCTTCAGGTGTTTGATGAATTGGGAAAAACATGTGTCATTTTAACGATGATCCAACTTCAAATTTAACTTCAAGATTTGTGTCACAACCCGACTCCCCTAGCAGAATATTGTCCGCTTGGGGCCTCCCCTCTCACGGTTTTGTTCTTGAGCTCAAGCTAATGCTATCTTGCCCAAAAGACCTCTTACTATGAAGAGAAGTGCCCACACATATAAAACACTTCACCTTTTCCTCCCCGAGCGATATGGGATTGCTCACCGTTCTTGTTTCCCCAAAACACAGGTCTTACAATTTGAATCTCAGATATTGTATTAGATCATAATTAAACTTGGAAAATACATAATGTTGAAAATGTGGACTACAAACAAAGAAACAAATGTACAAAAATGTGGAATGTGGATAGAGACTATGTTTTACAAAACAGCAGTCATATTCTCATGTAGTGGGAAAGGAAATGAATAAAGAAAACCCATTGATATGTTGACATGCACTAGTCACCTATGCAATTTGCAATTACATTTGCATTTCTTTCTTAATGGGTAGGCTAGGGATTTATGTTATATTTAGTTATTTATGTGCGTATGTAGGTTGATTTTAACCGTTGATTCTTATAGGATGTGAGCAACTGACCGTAGCACCTCTCATAAATCAATAACAGTTGAAGATCTCACCTTTCATTTGTGCTAATCTACAATTACAAACAAAGACAAGATTAAGGTATAGTTTGGATGTTTCAGTTTTACTGTGCCAATATCTATGTGGTAGTATTGTTTAGTCCTGGAACCTTGGGATCCTCAAAACATACCCACCAATCCTGGCCGTCCAATTGATCAGCGAAGGCGTCTCGCTTGACTACACGTGCTGCCAATCTTTTATGCCCTTTTTATCTTTTGCTTCCATGCATGGAATTCTCCTCCGACTATAACACAAACTAAGAGAGAGAGAGAGAGACAGCTAGAGGGAGCTTAGAGAGAGAGAAGAACCTCTGAATCAGTCATGGTTAGCTTTGATTGTTTTTTACAGGCCTCTTCGTCGCCATTATTAGCGACCCATTTCTTAAAGTTTTGATCTTTTCAATTTAAACCCAATTAATTTTATTTTGCAACATTGAAAAAGGGATTGTGGGTACTTTGATATGGAATTTAAAGCGTTCCTTTTTGTGGGTCGGATCTCGTACTTCACAAAACTGTCACATCTCAACATTTCGATTCTCATCTGTTACTCACCTGCAATAAAGCACCAAACCTTGTGATCTGTTTTTCAGCTGTTCGATCTGAGATTGTCCCTTCACTTGCTCTGTTTCTCTCTGCTATTTGGGTCTTTTTGCTGGAACAAGCAAGATCATGGAATGGAATGCTGCATTCTAGTTCATTTGAGGTAAGGCGTGGTTTGCTGATTTTGTTTTCTTTACTAGTGCCTATCGTTTGGTTTTGACTATTGAGTGATTAAAAATCCAACTATGGAAGAAGAAGATCAGAATCAGAAAAAGAAATTTGTGTGCAAGTTTTGCAACAAGAGGTTCCCTTGTGGGAAGTCCTTGGGTGGTCACATCAGGACCCATTTGAATAAGAAACCAACTCTGGAGAAAGAGGAAGATGATGATGAAATAGCTAAAGCTAGGATAGTGAAGTTTTCACCTTCAGATGTTGTGGGAAAGAGCAAAGGAGATTCAGGGTCTGAAGCTGCTGGGCATTCTGGCTACTCTCTCAGAGAGAATCCCAAGAAAACTTGGAGGTTTGTGGATTCAGGCCCTACTTTACACTTGCAGCAGGGAAAGGTGTGCAAAGAATGTGGTAAGGGGTTTCAGTCATTGAAGGCTCTGTGTGGTCATATGGCTTGTCACTCGGAGAAGGAGAAGCTGATTAACAAGCTTGAAGAAACCTCAGACACTGGTGAGAAGCAGAAACTAGTAATGGATAGTCAGTCAGATACAGAGACATCAGCTCCAAGGCTGAGAAGGATCTCCAAAAGAATGAAATACCAGAATCTTGATGTTTACTCTTCTATGGCAAATGGTTCTTCATCTGGTTCTGGGGTCGAGCAAGAACAACAAGAGGTGGCTATTAGTTTGATGATGTTGTCTCGGGATTCTGGTCACAAAGGGGGTTTGAATTCATTTGCTGAGTCTTCAGATAACAACTCTGTGGTTTTAGAGACTAAATCATCATCTATTGATATGAGAATTAGTACTGAGCAGGGTCTCAATTGTGCCTCGAAAGTGAATGATATTATGGGCATGAAGAGAGCAAGAGACGAAAAGTTGAAATCTGAGGAGATCACTGTTTCTGACAATTCTGATTCTGGGTATTTCAGACATGAACCAAAGAAGGTTGAATCAGATGTTTCTGTTGATGGGTTTATTAGGAATGGTGAATTTCACAAGGTTAGAGCAGAATTTGGATCTAAATTTGAGGGATATGAATCCTATGATGTTAAGTTAAGAAGGGGTTTTCATATGAAATCTGAAGTGGGGAAGGATCATTTGTCAAAGGAAGAAGCTCATCCTGATCAAGTGCATAGAGGAGGGTCTTTAAAGTACGCATTGAGAAAGACAACCAAGAACGGTTTTCACAGACCATTTACTAATGGTTCTACCAATGTTGAAGTCTGCAGAAACGCTCGAAAGAGCAGCAAATATGAGTGCTTGACTTGTAAGAAGACCTTCCACTCTCATAGGGCTCTTGGAGGACACAGAGCCAGTCATACAAAGACCAATGGCTACTCTGAGTCCATGTACGAGAGTGGGGAAAACAGCATAGACACTGAAGTCTCTCCTGTTCCAACACCCGAGAGTAAGCTTGTTGAGCCTTGCAGTGGCAAAAGACCAATTGATGAAAACTTATTATCTGGCAGTGCAAAGAGAAATTCAGGTTCAAAGAAAAGCAAGGGACATGAGTGCCCATTCTGCTTCAAGGTTTTCAGGTCAGGCCAAGCTTTAGGTGGTCACAAGAGGTCCCATTTTGTTGGAGGCCGTGAAGTCAAAACTGTGGTACTTAGGCAAGAACCTGAAGCCCCTCATGAGGCTGAAATCACCGCTCTATTTGATCTTAACCTTCCAGCTCCTATGGAGGATGAAGCAAATGAGCAATTTGGGTTCATGACATGGTAGGTTGGAAGAAGGAACAAGCATGAATTCTTGGTGGGTCTTCTCTACAACTTACAAGTACTCTGCCATTTTTCTGTAATGTTGCAAATGCAGGCAAGTACAGACAATTTGGTGAATTTTTTGTTTCTCTTGGGCCCCAGATTCAAAGTATGCCTTGCAGAGGTAATGGTTCCATTTCTGGTTCATGGACAGGAAGGATGAGTTATTCTTGCAGTTTTCACCTTCCTTAGTTTTTTTATTTGTTCTAATAATCTATTTGATCGTCTCATTTTGAGTGCACTGATCTGTTTTTTTCCGAGACATGTAGCTATAGGAACTTAGCTTCTCTCTCTTCCCATTTTGAAATATTTAATATTCTCCTCACTGTTTTGGAATGTCTCATAATATTATTTAGAGAGTCAACAAGTTTTTAACTATAGCTTCTATTATAAAATAAAAGACAAGAAGACAAAGTAGGACTACATCATAATATGAAAAAGGTGAAAGTTGGTCACATATCATCAACAATGTTAGTGTGAAATACACAATTCCCTTAGCTCTCAAACTTTCCCATTTACAAGAACAAGTAAAACAGAATGTCAAAAAAAAGTATGTGCTCTTGAAATTTTTACCTATTTTATGAAAACCACTTAATGAGGAAGTGTCACTTTCCATCACCAAGCTAGGGCCCTTGACACCAGAAAAAATTACAAGACAAAATGAAATAAGAGGACTAATTGCCTCGCAACTTTCATAATCAACTCCACTTGTAATTGTGGCCATTCAGAAGTCAAGCACCAATTTTTTTCACTGGTTGAGTGTGTTTTTCCCAAAAGTATCCAGGACCACCTGCTTTATGGGGAAATGTTGAAAAGTGCCACTAAACTTCAAATGTTGGGAGATAAGTTTCCTCTAGAATTTACATCCCCATTCACTCAGATTTGCATTTTCATCTCTGTATGATGAAATGATTACAGATAGGATTTTTTTTTAAGCCACCCTTACTTGTTGTAGTTGCTTTACAATGAGTCCTCTTTCAATGTAGAAAAAAGTGTTTCCCACCCCAACTAAATTAGACCCATTAACAGCAAAATCTACTGCAATAGAATTCAGCATGAACAGGGTTGTTAGAGATGTGGATGAATCTTAAACATGAAGCCTCAAATTGGATAAGTATATATATATATATATATAATGATTGTACGGCTCTAGGTGGTTGCATAGCATCTGCCACTAAGCTTTAGAATTTTGTTTAAATTCAACTTAGTGACATGTGAAATCTACCATGGCCTCATCAGCAGGCCCACTTTTTCTTTTTCGGCCAGTAAAGAAGCATTTGCATTTGCATCAACTCAGAAACAAGAACCACTTGAGAGGAATATAAACACTTTCTGTAAATAGAATTATGAACTCATATGGGATGTGCTATGGAACACCAAATCTTTCCAAAACAAATCTGTATCTTATTGCACTGACATAGCTCAATTACTTTATGAACCAGAAACAAAACAAAACAAAAATCCATGTTTTCTTTGATTCAGTGGACCCAACTTGGAAGGAACTTGGTGGGATAGGCCAAAAAAAATCCAAAGCCATTGTTGTTTTTCTTAACCTGTGGGCAATAGAGCCCATTAGTACTATGGGTGTTTGTTTCCTGAATTTTAACTTTATTTGTTTAAAATCTGATAAATGTTTGTATGAAATCCAAGAGCTTTGAGTGGAATTGGTCATAACCTGCTTTTTCCATTTTTATCTTTGCTTGAGCAGATGGGATGGGAATGCAATGTATTACCTAACAATTAAGGGTAGGGTAGCGTACCCTTGTGTTTCTGATTTTTTTGTTTTTTTTTTTGTTTTTGGGGGGACATCTCTCTGTCATGCCTTCTTCTTCTGATCCTATAACGTGGATGGATGAGAGAGAGAGTGCTAAAATCTTGATTATTTTCTCAGTACTGAGAGTAAACGACTGCACACACTCTCTTTGGGCCGGTAGATGTAGGGTTTGATTTTCCATAGATGGGCCTCTCTCGAATCTCAAATTCATAGAGAGTATATCTAACCAGGCCCAAGCCACAAAAAGGCCTTAGCTCAGAATATAACATGCTTTTTTTAATTCTTTTTTTGCAACAAAAATAAGGTGTGATTCCAGAAGGTACAAGAAATAAATTAAATATAGTGGCAATAATTTGTTGGATACCAATTTAGAAACACAAAAGGAAGTTTTATAGCAATGAAACAGCCAAAAGAGATGACTGTTATGATATCTTCCTGCCTTCCTTCTTTATGACCTAAAAGGTCAAAATGTAGAGGATTTATTTATTTATTTATTTATTTATATAATTTGTGGTGTCACTCTCTCTTTCTCTCTTTCTCTCTCTCTCAATCAATTGCAGTTGGGTTGATGGAGATGGCCTAACCAAATGTTTATATAATTAATATAAATTCATTGGAGTAAATTATTTTAGTTTTGCAGTTATTATGAGAGCTAATCAAATTCTAATAATATAAAGTAGCTTTAAATTGATATTGACTGTTAATTGGTTAGGAGGACAGGCACATCACGTACGTAATCGCCCATGAATAAATAAATAATAACTTATATGCCATCGAGGAGGAAGAGGAGGAGGAGGAGGAGGAGACAAGGAAGTTGGTTGGTTCTGGGCTCCCGTACATGGAGCCCGGTGAGACGCCGCTTTTATCTCTTGTCTTTCTTTATCCGCCCATTCCCCATATTGATTTCGATTTGGACAACTGACTCACTGACTCAAAACCAGGTCTTGGTTAATACGACACGCGTCCTCCTTGCTCTGCTCAAACTTAAGACAAAGATTGACTACACGACCAATAGTAATATTATGTTATTTGAAGTGTTATCACGTGTATTATAGTATTTTATTAGTTGGAATTGCTATCTCTGTTTCATGGAAATTTTTCTCTATAACGTAATATCACCACAATTTAAAAAGAAAGTTGCTAGCATTCATCTTATCCTATTCATCTTATCCTATTACTGTTGTTGGCTGTCAAAACTTATTAATGAATTCCCAGCTTTTTTATTTTCTTCTTTTGCCTTGAAGGAAAGTTTATGCTGAAGATTTATCAAACCATCACCAAACTAATAAATTAGGCTCCCACTAATTACTTCCTCAATTGTATATATATATATATATATATTGCATGGAAAAGCTAAGTAGGTGGGTAGGCACAATAATTAACCTCTCCAGCGTTAGATTAGCCGACAATTAACAAACAATTTCGGTAAAGAGCGCACGGGTAACTTGTGTATAATTGCCACTTTTCGCCACTCGGCCTGTAATAAAAGAAACGTAATTGCAGCAACGGAATTATAAAAAAAAGACATATTTAGTATATACCTATTTTTAACACAAAATATATAAATAAACCCTATATTTAATTTCTATAAATAAACCTAAAAAAAA